ATACCCCCAGGAGGAGGGTTCTGTTTGTTCTTTTGTAGCATTCTACGATGCATCCTGAAGCCCACTTAGAAATCCTCTGTGAGGATATGGGCTGTCCATACAATCTTTCTGCTATGACAACAAAGAGTCTCAGAAATTTTCTAATGGGTTTGGTTCTTTGCAGGTAGAATGCCAGGGCGTGCCTGACGATGAGAGTGAAGTCTCCTGTCTTTGGAAGAAGCATGGGGTTTCAGGAAAAATACAGGTAAGTGTAATGATGTAGAACTCAGAAAAAATCATGGGAAGGAATTTTGGAAGTTATCTAAGGGAGATCTTCTCTTTGTGAAATACTGTATGAGGAGGGTCTGCCATCATGGCTCCTTGCTTATTGACCCTTCTGGCCAAAGTGATGGCTGCTAAAAACACCACCTTCATGGGTCATGTTGCCACATTGTGATAGTGGGTCATGGCACATATTGTGATAGTTTCAAAGAGCAGACCTGTGAGTGTTTACAGAACAAGGTAAAAGTCCCATTGAGGTGTAGGTTTAATGATTGGTGGGAAGGTCCTGATCAAGCCCTTCAGAAATCGTACAGTAGCCAGGTATGTAAAGACACAACATCCTTCAACCGGAGAGAGGAAGGCACTAATCCCTGCTAGGTGCCCCTATAGCGAACTAGGGGCCAGACCTGAACTATTTGAGGAAAGGAGATAGTCTAGGATAACTAGAATGCCCACAGTATCAAGTGAATATTGGTGGCGATGTGCCCAGGCCAAAAAGTGATGCCATTTAGCCAAGTAGCAGGATCTAGTAGAATCTTTTTCACTTTGGTTAAGGATTTCCAGAACGGGGTGGAACATTAGCGTTCTATTTCCGACGTCCATCCAAATACCAGGCTGTGAGGTGGGGTGAGCCTTGGTTGGGGTGCTTGATTTTTCCCCCATTCTGGATTAGGAGGTCCTAAAATAGGCAGATCCTGATAGATAGGTGTGTGGACATCTTTAGGAATTCTGTGAACCAGAACTGTCTGGACCAGTAGGGTGCGAAGAGGAGGATGGCGGCTATGTCGCCATGGAGCTTCTGTTCAATCTGTGGTAGTTGGGACAAAAGGTATATCTGACATTATTTGTCCAGTACAGCAGGAGAGCATGACCGTGGGAACTGCAGCCCGTTGCTCTCCTGAAGTAATACATGGAAAGCTTTCTGTTCGTCTGAGGTGCAAAGAGGTCCCTTAGTGGAATACCCCATTGTGCTAATATGTTGGTTAGAACTGTGTGGTGGAGCTCCCATTTGTGGTCAGAAAAGCTTCTGCTTAACCTGTCTGATAGGAAGTTGTAAATACCCGGGAGGTATGCAGCTTGTATCGTAATGTGGTTTCTGATACATCACCTCCAAAGTCTAACTGTTTCCAGGTAGAGGGGATGAGATCTTTCTCCTCCCTGTTTGTTTATATAGACCACTGTGGTGATATTGTCTGATGCTATTTTTACATGGAGTAAGCATATGAGGGAAAGGAAGGCCTTGCACGCAAGGTGGACTGCTCTCAGTTCCAGTAAGTTTATGTGTAGCCCGGCCTCTTTTAAAAATATAAGAACGGCCATACTGGGTCAGACCAAAGGTTCATCTAGCCCAGTATCCTGTCTTCCCACAGTGGCCAATGCCAGGTGCCCCAGAGGGAATTAACAGAACAGGTAATCATCAAGTGATCCATCCCCTGTGGCCCATTCGCAGCTTCTGGCAAACAGAGACTAGGAATACCATCCCTGCCCATCCTGGCTAATAGCCATAGATGGACCTATCCTCCATGAACATATCTAGTTCTTTTTTGAACCCTGTTATAGTCTTGGCCTTCAAAACAAAGGAGTTCCATAGATTGACTGTACATTGTATGAATGCACACAGGGTCCAGGTGCCCTGAGCATTGTGGTAGTCCAGGTGAACACCCCACCCTGTAAGGGAGGCATCAGTCAGGATGGTGGCCCTTGCTTGGTATGGGAGGGTTGAAGGGAGTTCCACCATGAATTTGTTTGGGTTAGACCACCAAGCAAGGGAGGTCATAACTCTGGTGGGAACTGTGACCTTGGAGTCAATGCGATCCCTGTGTGGTTGGTAGGTCGAATGGAGCCAAGCTTGCAGGCACTGCAAGTGGAATCTAGTGAACGGCATCATGTAGGTGCATGCAGCCATGTAGTCTAACAGAGAAAGACACCAGCGCACCATAGTTTGGGGGTGATGCAAAAGATCAGGTTGCTAACGGTGTAAAACCTATCTATGGAAAGAAATGCTCTTGCAGAGACTGAGTACAGCCATGCTTCCATAAAAGTTATTGTCCTTGGGAGGTAACAAAATGTACTAACACCTAAAGTAGAAAGAAGGTGCTGAAGAGGTCCCATTGCTGACATGACCTCCTGATGAGATCAGCCCACTAGGAGCCAGTCATCCAGGTATGGAAATACTGTATAACCCTGGCATTGCATCTGGGCTGTTACCACAGTGAAAACTTTAGTGAATACCCTCGGGGCTGTAGCGAGCCCTCAGGTAAGGACATGAAACTGGTAGTGCTCTTGGCCAATGAAGCACAGAAACTTCCTGTGAGACGGGTCAACATCTATATGGACATATACATTCTTCCTGTCAAGAGCTGCAAACCACATTCCCTCCTGAAGGGAGGGGATTATAGATGCCAGCGCAATCATCCTGAATTTCAGCTTTCAAATAAAGGTGTTGAATTGCCGAAGGTCCAGGATGGGTCTCCACCCTCGGTCTTTTTTGGGGATTAGAAAATATGGAGCGTAGAACCCTGTGCCTTGATACTGAGGTGGGATACATTCTATTGTCCCCCAGCGTAAAAGGTATTCCGTTTCCTGTTGATCAATTGGTGAGATCCCTCCCCGAAGAGGGATCAGGAAGATGGTTTGTGAGGAGAGAAGAAAAGAAACTCTATGGAGTATCACTGATGGATAATCTGCAGGACCCAACTATCTGTGGTGATCTTGTTCCAGCTGTGGGTGAAGAAAGTAAGATGGCCTCCAAAGATGACAGGAGAAGAAGTAGGTGCCATTGAGGGTGGTATGCAGGTCTCGACCTGCATGTCAAAAATGACTGTTGGCCTGTGGTTGGGAGTAAGTGGAGGCTGTGGCAGTACAGGGAGCCACGAAACGGGACCCCTGAATTCTCTGTCATTTATGCAGAGGCTCAGGTGGACATATGGAGCATGCCACAGGGGTGGTCGTGGTCTAAAGGGCTGTCTCTAGTGTTGCCTCTGGGGGGACTGGAGTGTAAATCCCCAGGGATTTCAGAACGGATCTTGAGTCTTTTAGAGAGTGCAGGAATTCATCCATCTTTTCATTCAGAAGGTTGGATTCATTGAAGAAGAGGTCTTGGAGGTGTTTTGGATCTCTCTAGGAAAGCCTGATGACTACAATCACGAGTCCCTTCATGTGATCAGTTCTGTGGCCAAACTTCTGGACACTATCTGCAGCACCTATTGCAGCCTGGAGAACCAACTGTGCCACTAACCTCATATTTTGCTAATAAAACTTAATAATTAGCTATACAAAATTGAAGACCAGCAGAAGAGAAGACCTTCCTATCCAAGAGATCCAGTCTCTTTGAGCCCTTATCTGTTGGGATGATTTCTGATAGTGCGACCAAGCTCCTTCCATAGCTGCCTGTATTGCCAACAAATTGGGGCAGGATGGGAAAAAAGTCACCTCCTTTGGTAGGAATTAAATAATATTGGGGGGGGGGGGGCGGGTATACAGTCACAAGATATTGGTGTGTGCCAAACTGCTAAGGTCAGTACTAATATAGACATGTTAATTGGAAGGGCCACCCTGGTCGGTCCCTGTGGTTGCAAATTGTCCAAGAGATGGTGTTAAGGGTCCTGGACCTCTTCTAATGGGATCTGCAAATTGTTAAGAGATTCCTTACAACAGTTCCTGATATGGATGGTGGCCATCTGATGCAGGAGCGATGTCGTCATCTGGAAATTATGAAAAGGCACCCATCGGAACTGTTGGTACAAATGGAACTGGTTCCAGCTCTTCCTGCTTATACACGGATGGAATCATCTGACGAGAGGGGGAGGAGTGGTACAACTCCTGACAGGGGTTTGGGCACCTGCCACAGGAATCCCAAGGCCCCAATATAGAGGGATCCATTAGTCGTGGTGGCCCCCAAGGGAAATCGGTACCAACTATCCCCGGGGGGAGGGTCATATCTGGAGGGATGGTAAGCATAGCTTCTCAACCATCTTCCAGGACCAGAGAGGATTTCCTCCTACTGGGACTAGGTGGGAGGTGGGGGGAACAATACTATACAATAACTAATAAGCTAAGATATAAAACTATGTACAAACATCTTACTTTATACAGGTTATGCACAGAGTGAAGGAGGACATGATTCCAACTTAGGACATGCGGCAGTAAGAAGGAACTGGGGAGGCATCGACCAACATTCGGTTGGGAGTACGAGGGAAGCTACTGCATATGTGTGTGTCAAAGGACACTGCTTTGAAGAATTTCCAAACTGGGGTGCATGGCATGTATGAGTACTCATGTGGAATATACATAGGGACCATCACTCAAAGTTGAAGTTAACATTGTCAAGGCATAATCAACATGTACCCCATCCCTGGAAGCAAAGTATACAAATTTTCAGCCTGTAATATTAAAGTTTGTCTTATGCAATGATCTTCCTCATGCAACACAAACATTTTCTTTTTAGCAATACTTGTAACCAAGTACTTTGTACTTCAGGATAATTGTTGCTTGACAGTAAATTTTATCCTAATTCATAATTTCAGATTCTATGTTAAATATAAAAGATCACTAGATCCAATTCACAAATATACAACATACTAAAAATACACATTCAAATTATACTTTCTTGGGAAAGGGTTCTTAAATAGTTTTGCTCAAATTCATGTTCCCTCCAAGCAGACACTAGCCTAAAGGATTTAAAAGGAATGGGACAACAATAGGAATGTAGTGGTATTATTAAATATATTCATGCTCACCTGCTGTGATGTCATCATCAACAAGATCATGCTCTTCTTCCTGAACTTTGACTTCTGACCCTGATGAATCTGGACTTGCACTACCAGTTTGAATGGCTTCCGCTGTCACTCCAGCTGAAACAAATTCAGTCACATTAAAAAAATGACTATTTTGTTTTTAATTGATCTTTTTTTGGAATTTATAATCACAAACAACCTTAATTTTCTCCCACTAGGAATTGCCAATGCTTTGAAATAATACCTTTATAACTCTTTCTGATCAGCACTAAGGAAAGTTTCTTTCCAATAAAATTTCAAATTTTCCTTCCTTTTATATTAGCATATAGAAGCAGGTTTAATATTGAGATTTGGAGGCAAAATATAGACACACCTTTAGCCTTCTTTAAAATAGATTAATATCAGATTTTTTTTTCTAAGTGTGACAAAATGGTATATAATTTTCTATAAATATAAACATAGGAATGATTTCTCCTAAAGAGAAACATTAAAGGCATTTATATATTTCTTGTACATCTGATGCAATTCAACAATAAAAAGGATTGGACATTTACATGGATAATGAGAACATTGAGAATTACATCAGAAAGAATTTTTAAAAACTAGAGTTTGGAAGTTGTGTGGAATCTCATGCTTCAGAGCACGACAACTTCTGGCTAATATAATTTCAAAGAAATAGCCCTTATGGGCAAATTATTCAGTAATTGCCCACGTGATGATTTTTTGGGGGCGGGATTTTTTGGACTAGTATCTGAAGCCATTGTCAAAGGCAGGATACTGGACAGACAGATCACTAGTCTGGTTGGATACAGCAATTCCTAGGTCTCTGATGAAAAACAAAACAGGACAGCCCCACTGTGGTATACTCTTGTGTAAAACAAATTAACTTACACACACACACACACACACACACACACACACACACACAAATAAAAACAAAATTCTGTGTCAAAATATTAGTTCAGCTGTCATTATAATATGATCAGGAGCACCATGAAAAAATTAATTTCTAAATCCAAAGTACAAGAAAAAGATTTCTCCATAAGTGGTTGTCCTTAAATTGAAGGAATGGAGTAATAAAAGAAGGTAATGAAAAGACAGAGGACGGAACACACAACCAAATCAGTAACAGTTACTAGTATCACTTCACTAAGCCTGCTAGTAGTGATCATGTGAAGACCACCTAAATTAATAGCTTTGGAACACAGTACATTATTAAAAAATAAAGTTTATAATTTTATCTTACCACTATCACAACTAATGTACACCACAGTTCATAACTTTAACTCTGCTCCTCTAGGGATGTGAGCATTTCAATGCTTCCTTTACCAGACTACCCATTTCAAACACATCAGACTATCTTTCAGCCTTCTCTCTGGCACACATCCTTCATCAGAATATCCCCTTTCCCCCCAAATGTTATTAGTTGTGCAGATTTAGTGCAATAGTTTGGTGTGTTGCGAGGGGTTAGTCTGGTAAGGAGGTGCTGGAAGGCTGGCATTACTAGCGGGACAAAATTAACGTAGTTTGTGATGTACAGTAATTGTGGAAGTGGTAAGGTGTATGAATGAGTGGAAGATTAGAAAGCATATAGGAAACTTGACTTTTCATTTCCTGTGAAGCAACCTTAACAATGCTGGTGAACTTCCATATTTTAGAAAAAGAGTTTAACAGTGGATGTCACATCCCCATGCAAATCTACACGATCCCGATTTCTCTCTTCACACCAATGATCCCCCCAGCCAAAAGATGGGATCCTTGGGCAGCCACAGAGGAATTCCCCCTGTGATGAACCATGGGGAGTTTGTCAGACAGAGGTGCTGGCTTTGTAAATGGAACTGGGAGTGCTACTTTTTAAGGGCTCTCTGCCCATCAGATTGTGTCTATCCTTACACCTTTTAACAGCTAGGACAAGAAGGAAGGCTAGGACTAAAGAGAAGTGATAATTGTATTGAGGGACATAGAAGCAGTATTGCCAAATACATGTATTCAAAAGTCAGGAATTGGTTCCCCCAAATCATGAAATGGGCTTAAATATAATGAGATTTTAGTGGGGAAAAATTCATCTGCCTGTTAATTTTTGAGCCATTAAGGGGAAACTGCCTACACCCAATTTGTGAGTGATCATTTGACATTCTAAATTCAACCATAAATGCAAAAATTTGAGCCTCTCCATTTGGCTGTTGGGAAATGACTCTACTTAACCCTATGGTGAGTGAGCTGCCATCCCTCTCACTCATCGCTATCCAGTGTCCTCCCAAATCTTCCCTGCTATCTCAGGCAGTCTTCCACTCCATTTGCATTCTCTCTTTCTTACTACCCATTTTGCAATATCTACTCAAGATCAATTTTGTGTAGATACATATTGTTTTAATGAGGCACATCTACAACAAAAAACTAGGAAGTCTCACAGATTTCAGATAGAAACCCACTGCAAACACTTCCGGTTAATGATCTATTACACAAAGCTAAACAAAAACTACATAGAAAACTCAAAAGACATAATAAACTTTTTGTAGAATTTACAACAGAAAGATCAACATGTAGGAAACCACCTTCCCTCCCAGGAATGCATGCCCTAATTTCAGCCTCTTTGAGAAGGCAACCTTAACAATGGAGTCACAATCAAACCCTCCATAAAAAGAGCACCACCCCACACCTATTAGGCTATATAAATAATCATAATAACCTATGCACTGAATAAACAAAAACATGTATGAATACACATCTCTACTGAGTCAGAGAACACATTGGTCCTCTGCATAAAGGCAAGCAAATAAAACCACTCTGCAACAAGGAGCTTCATAAATTCCGTCTTCTGCATGAAGCAATCTAGAATATGGTCCACTTATTCCTAAGCACTCTATGGAGAACCCACTTGCCTACATTAGGATGTCAGCCGGCACAGCAAACATGTTTGATGCATCCCCCAACATGACTCTTAAGACCCCAGGGCTAGGCAGTGTCTGCAATTCTTCCATGTCTTTTCCCATCCCAGGAAGAGGATAGATTTGAATGGTTGCTTAATCCTGAAAAATGCATTAGGAAGCCTCTTCGGAGATGGAAGCTCCTCCTCAAGTAAGGTACAGTCTCTGTGGTTGTATAATTGGATAAGTTATCAGAAGCTTATGGTATGGTGGCCCCAAAAGGAAACTTTTTATTGGATAGAACCCTTAGTGAATACTGGTTTGCATAAGCATTATGGCAACCATGAGTCTGTCTGTCACCAAAAGGAGAGTGATGTTCCATTTGATATGTGCTACAATACCTAGGCTTAATAAGGATGAATAAAAAGGACAACCATTAAAAGAATGCCCAGGCATGTGTTGGTTTACATCAGATATACAAAAAAATATTTCTTCCGCTCAATGAAAATCCAGTAATCAGGAACATGTATTCCTGTACTCCAGTGCTTTCTAGATAATTGCTAAAAATAACACCTAAAAAGTATGTCTTAAATATGTCAAAAACCTGAATGCATGTTCAAAATAAGCCAAATAAAATACTAAAACTAATGGAAAACTTATTTTACTATGAGTGATTTCGCCAATGTGTGATATCCAATAAGTGTATTAATCATAGTATTAAATATAGCTGTCTAACCTATTTTATCATTCACTTAAATACATTAATATTGTGCAATGCAATATTATTTTACTTGTATTTTTCTGCTCTTATAACTGAAGTCTTCCAAAAGTAAAAGGATCAAGCACACATATGTTAACGTACACCAAAGACCAATTAGTGAGCAACAGGTTGGGGTGCTTTTGAGATCACCAGGTGATGCCAGCTCATTCAATATCTGTCACTGTGTTCTACCACTTCTTCTTGGCTTGTCTCACTTTCTCTTTCCTCCTTCAGATATCCAGTTCAATGCTTTCTTAGCATGTCTCCCATCTTCCATTCAGTGTACAGGTCCCAACCATCTGAGCATTCTTTCTTTGATATTTTCTAACATGTACTGCTCGATCAGGTCCATTACTCTCACTTACACTCTTTTTGTTAGCCATTACCATCGGCCAACTCTCTGCTCTGTGGTGTGCTCTGTACAATCTGACCTTTCGTTTGGTGTGGAGATCTCTATTTGATCAGATGTTGTTCATCCTTCCAAAAGTGGTGTTTGCTTTTCCTAATCTAGTATGAATATCTTTATCGCAATCTCCTTCAAATGTCATCACTCTTCCTAGACAGCAGAACTGTCTGTTATATTTCTTTTCTGTCCACATATACCTTGGCATCTGTTGTTCAGTTTCCTACCTTCAAACATCTTTATTTTCTCTTCATTTACTTTCAATCTAATAAAAAGAACAGGAGTACTTGTGGCACCTTAGAGACTAACAAATTTATTAGAGCATAAGCTTTTGTGGACTACAGCCGAGTTCTTCGGATGCATATGGAGTGGGTGGGCTGTAGTCCACGAAAGCTTATGCTCTAATAAATTTGTTAGTCTCTAAGGTGCCACAAGTACTCCTGTCTTTTTGCGGATACAGACTAACACGGCTGCTACTCTGAAACCTTTCAATCTAATGTTTGCTGCTTCCTGTTCTACCTCTGATGAAAGGACAACCATTCTGTTTCACTATGTACTCAGTAAATCAATGGCGAGTCACTAGTTTCTGTTACCCATTTAAACCTGCATGCCGCCTTTTGTTGTTCATTTCATCACCCAGTCGACTGCTAATGCAAAGAGGATTGGTGATAACACACACCCTTGTCTAACTTGTCAAACCACTCACGCTGACCTGTATCTGATCTTGCTGCACATCTACTTCCATCATAATAAGAAGTTTATATGTTGATCAGTTTGTCTGGTATCCAGTAGCTCTTAACAATATTCCGCAGGGTCTCACTGTGGACACTACTAAACACTTTTTAAAAGTTGATAAGATGGGTTTTTGCCAAGCAGTAGCTTTTTTGATCATCTATCAAAGACTGGATATCTGCTCATAATATCGTCTACCTGGATGAAACCCAGCCCGTTTTTTTCGTAATATTCGATACACTGTTTTTTTCATTCTATTCAGCATAACAGTAGCCAATACTTTGCCCAGGACTGATAGCAGTACTATCCCTCTCCAGTTTATGTATTGAGTAAGATCACCATTTTTTGGCAATGC